CTATGGGGCTCTATGGGGTGCCTATGGGGCTTTATGGGCATCTATGGGCTCTATGGGACTCTATGGGGTGCCTATGAGGCTTTATGGGGTGCCTACGGGGCTCTATGGGGCTCTATGGGGTGCCTATGAGGCTTTATGGGGTGCCTATGGGGCTCTATGGGGTGCCTATGGGGCTCTATGGGGCTCTATGGGGTGCCTTTGGGGCTTTATGGGGTGGCTATGGGGCTCTATGGGGCTCTATGGGGTGGCTAAGAGGCTCTATGGGGTGTCTATAAGGCTCTATGGGGTCCTTATGGGGCTCTATGGGGCTCTATGGGGTGGCTATGGGGTGTCTATGGGGCTCTATGGAGCTCTATAGGGTCCTTATAGGGTTCTATGGGGCTCTATGGGCTCTATGGGGTGGTTATGGGGTCCCTATGGGGCTCTATAGGGCTCTATGGGGTCCCTATGGGGCTCTTTAAGGCCATATGGAACCACACGGGCAGTGGGCAGGGCCAGGGATTAAAAAAAGTGGGTGTGGCCTACCGACCAGTGGGCGGGGCCGTGATGAAAGGGGGCGTGGCCTAACAGCGGGCCTGACACGACGAGAGGGGCGTGGCCTGACGAAGTGGGCGTGGCCACGAAGAAAAGGGGGCGTGGCCAGGCGCATCCTTGGGCTGGGGCTGATTACAGGGCCGGGGAAGGAGGCGTTAATTAGCGTTAATCAGCGTTAATTACCTGGATGACGGGCGGGTCGGGGCGCAGGGCCGGGCTGGGGAAACGCAGGCGCTGCCAGGCGGGGGGGGGCCGGAAGTGCAACAAATTCCTGCCGCATTTCTCCAGCACCCGCAGCGTGCGACCCACTGCTGGCGGGCCCTGAGGGGTTAATTAGCACTAATTAGCACTAATTACGCTGCCTTTGTTCCTCGTTAGGGCTTCAGAGCCCCTACCAACCCGCAATTAAACCCAATTACCCTTCATTTGCCCATTAACCCTTGAATACCCTCTAATTACCCTCAATCCTCACTAATTACCCCCAATCCCCATTAATTACCCCCAATCCCTGCCAATTACCCCCAATTACCCCCAATCCCCACTAATTACCCCCAATCTCCTCTAATTACCCCAATCCCCACTAATTACCCCCAATTCCTCCCAATTACCCACAATCCCCACTAATTACCCCCAATCCCTGCTAATTACCCCCAATCCCTACTAATTATCCCAATCCCCATTAATTACCCCCCAATCGCCCCCTGATTACCCATAATTCCCCCTACTAATGACCCACAATTCCCCTCATAACCGCCCCATTCCCTGCAGTACCGCCTCCATCCCCCATTAACGCTAATTACCCCCGCTAATTAGCGCTCACCCCCGTGCCGCCCCCCCGCAGCAGGGCGGCGCCATCAACATGGCGGCACTTCCGGTCGGGAGCCGCGGGCAGCGCCACCAAAGCCCACAAAGCGGAAGGGGCGGAGCCTCCGGGACTCCTCCGAAGCTCCGCCTCCAGCTCCGCCCACAGCGCCGCCTCGTTAACGTCCCGCTCCTTAACGCCGCTCTCATTGGCTCCCGCAGGCGCTTCTGCCCGCCCACTCAGCCCGCCGCCGCCTCCCATTGGTGGCGTCCCCGCGGTGGCTCCGCCCACCCCCAAAACCTGCCCGCTTTCCCCATTGGCTCCTGCCGTCGCTTGGGCCCACCCACTTCCCGAAGGGACTCCTCCTATTGGCGGGGCCCCCCCTGTAGCTCCTCCCACGGGTGGGGTCCCACCTGTAGCTCCGCCCACCGCAAGGATCCGCCCATCCCCCTCATTGGCTGCTTCCACTGCTTCCGCCCGCCCACTTTGCCCAGTGGCACCTCCCATTGGTGGCTCCCCCCCAGTAGCGTTTCCCATTGGTGGGGTCCCCACGGTGGCTCCGCCCACCCCCAAAACCCTCCCACTCCCCTCAATGGCTGCTTCCATCGTTTGAGCCCGCCCACTTTGCCCATCGGCTCCTCCTATTGGCAGGGCACTCTCTGTAGCGCCTCCCATTGGCGCGGTCCCAACGGTGGCTCCTCCCATCTCGTGGGCCCGCCCCCTTTCCCCACTGCCTCCTCCCATTGGTGGGGTCCCCACGGTGGCTCCTCCCATCTCGTGGGCCCGCCCACTTCCCCCACTAGCTCCTCCCATTGGTCGGGTTCCCCCATTGGTTCCTATCATCGCTTGGGCCCGCCCACTTTCCCCAGCGGCTCCTCCCATTGGTTGAACCCCCTCACGTTCCTCCTTGTCAATGACCCGCCCGCTCTCCCCATTGGCTCCTTCCATCGCTTGGACCCGCCCACTCTCCCCGCTGCCTCCTCCCATTGGCGGGCTGCTCCCATTCCCCTTCTGCTCCGTTCCCCCCAAACCGGGTTCTACCACTTCCGGCTGCGCCCCCTTTTCCCCGCACGTCACTTCCGGTGCGCTGAGGACCCCGGGGGGCGCCTTCGCCATTGCCTGCAATGCAAACCGCAAAACGGAATTAAAAGCCGCGAAAACGGGGGAAATCCGCCCCAAAATTCGATCGGGGGGAAACTGAGACCCCAAAGGGCGGCT